TTTATAATTTTTTTATTAATTTTTTATATACTATTAATTTTTTTACCAAATATAATTAATATCCCCACAAATATTTAACAAAACTTCACAAGTTTACAAGGCAGAAGGTGCAATTCAGCCCCTGTACTTGCAATATCGTGGCAGATCAACTCCTGTACTAGAAACACTAGCAAATCAGCCCCTCTACTATATGAAATCTGCAAATCACCCCTTCTGTTAAGGATGACGTTACAAAATGTCATCTTTCCGTTTGATTTTTGTGGCCCCCTAGCAAAAGATGATGATTGGACAATGACATGGTATTGACTTAAAAAAAACCACCTGACTTGGGAAAAAATATTTTTGAGATTTTTTTTTTTCACTTTTACATATTTAAATATAAGGATTTTTTAACTTGTATCATAAAAATACACGTTAAGATCTATTTATTGTAGTATTTGTAATTAATTTTACACATAATTTTATACAATATTCAAATATAATATAATATATAATATAAAAAATAATATAATATAATATTTTACCTTAAAATCTATAAAAAAAAATAATGAATCTGAATAAAAATTTATGTAAAATTAATTAAAAATATCCTAACTAATGAGAAAGGCACATGGACGTAAATTTTTCTTTTGATTTTTCTGTTGTTTTTTGTTTCATATATTTAAGGGTTTAAGCACATGTTAGACAAACCTTTAAATATATAAAACAAAAACTAGAAAAATCAAAAGAAAAATTGCATCCCTATGCCCTTCTCATTAATTTGGGTATTTTTAATTAATTTTACATAAATTTTCATATTAAATTTATTACTTTTTACAATTTTTAGATAAAATATTATATTATATTATATTTTTATATATTATATTATATTATATTTGAATCTTGTATAAAATTAATTATAAATATTATAATAAATGAGTGTTAACTTGTGGCATTAAAGTACATGTTAAAAAATCCTTATGTCTTTTTTTTTTATCAGTGGGAAATTGGGGGATAGGGGAGTAAGTATAATATTGCTGCAGCAGTGGCAGCTAGAACCCTTGGCATAGACGCCAAGGGGATGATGCACTTCCAACGCAGCCGAAGCCGCAAGTGCTAAAAAATCCTTATGTTTAAATATGTAAGAGTGAAAAAAAAAATCTTGAAAATATTTTTTTTCCCAAGACAAGTGGTTTTTTTTAAGTCAATGCCATGTCATTATCCAACCATCTATTGTTAATGGGCCACAAAAACCAAATGGAAAGATGACATTTTCTAACAGAGTAATGATCTGTGGGACGAATTTGCGGGATGATTTCGGGGGACGACAAGTGAAGTAGTCCCAACAACAATTATCAATTTGACCCTGCTTTCACTTGTCGTCCCCAAAATCGTCCCACAAATTCGTCCCACAAATCATTACTCTTTCTAATGTCGTCTTTAACAGAAGGGTTGATTTGCGGATTTTATGTAGTAGAGAGGCTAATTTGCCAGTGTTTCTAGTATAAGGGCTGATCTACCACAACATTGCAGGTACAGGGACTGAATTGCACCCTCTGC